ACTACTATAAATAAATCTACGACTGCGCGAACCATCGATAAATCTACCGATCACAAAACTAACTCTACCACCACTAGAAATAAGTTTACCGATCACAAAATTAACTCTACCACTACGAGAAATAAGTCTACCACATATTATAAATCTACCACTACTATAAATAAGTCGACCATTGCGCGAACCATCAATAAGTCTACCAACCACTTAATAAATCTACCAATCGCAAATAAATCTACCATCACATGAACGGTAGACTTATTCGCTGCCTCATTAATGACATTTTCGTAAATACGTTTTTTCTCTTCAAAGGAAATAAGGCTAAAACAGGTATTAATAGTTTTTCAAGGTTGTTTGAGTAATTTTCAAAGAATAACATCATTTTGGTCAAAAATCAACTTTGTAAGGTTGTTTTAGTAAAGCTCCCAAGCCCAATCGTTTCTATGAGCCAGATTAAACCGAGTAGAGGGAACAAACTAAACCAGGGATAGGAACCGAATTTACCAAACCGATTTTCTATTAATTGAAAATCAAGAATATACAACCTTGGATTGTGACCAAATCAAGAATACCAAATCTCTGAGGTATGATTTGTTAAGTAAAAATAAGTGATTAAAAACAAAAACGCATGAGAAACAATCAGCAAGAGAATGTGATTTATCGTTACATAACTAAGCAAATACCTCAAGACATAACTCAATACTTATATATACTCTTGTTTCATATTTCAACCAAAATCTATTAATTGTTCCGATAATAATTTTTTCCCCTATCAGTGTCCAATTGCACCAAATGTTTAATGAACCAGCAAACAATGTCAGATTCCAAAAGAATATACAATCAAGTAGCCTTCTCTATCACCATATTTTTGTTCTCCCAAAATGCAAATCTAACGTTTTTAAAATTTATTTAGCATTTCAAAATTCGTTTTCTACATGTTACCAATCGAAACCTGTTAACAAAAAAAAAATGCATATAGAGAAACTAAAGTTATAAATCCATAGAGGTTGTAATCGGCCCATTACGTGGATGTTTAATCGGGCTTTTACTACCTAATATAGTATAACTAATTGGCGATGGTTTGTTTAATAAGGGCAAAACGCTGCCTTGTTCATCAAGTGAGAGCCACGGACCCAAAAAAAACCCTAATTCTTGGAGCAGCGATGATGCGACGAGCTGGATCCATACTTTCCAAGGACCGATTGACGAGCGATAATCGAACGAACCGATTGTGTTTGATCTGAATATATATCTCTCCTAAAAGATGGGG